GAAGCAGGTTTAAAATGAAGGTAGTTGTATATGTCTGTTGCGATTAAATTTTCTTACGTTTCCTTCAATTTTAGGAGATCCAGCAGTACAAAGAAGTGCTGGCTGAATTACATGAGACCGAATCCCAAGAACTTTATGACAAATATAGAGAAAGTGTCATCAAAGTATTAGGAATTAAGGCTGCCTCATCTGGAAGTTGACTTATGTTTTTTTTTTTTTTGATTCTGTAAAAGTTAATGAGATCTGGAATATGGAAAAGCAAGTCTCAGATTTTTCAGAAGACTGCTACATTACATATGAAACATGGGGGATTACCTTAATATAAGTTACTGATAAAACTTTGTAGTCCTTGCATTTATAATGTATATTGCAGCTACAGTGAAAGTTTTCCAAAAGTATTTTATAAAATAATGTTCCTTCCAATAGTGTAATTTTGTAATATGTAAAAAAAAGATAAAATGTTTAGAAAATTACAGTGTTGTGAAAGAATTGTTGTTGGTGACAGCACGTTGAGTGTCTAAGTGCTCTTATCACAAGGAATCTTAAGTCAATTTATGGTATCTTATTCTTCTTTAACAAAAGTAATAGCTTTTGCAAAGAACTTGAAAATTGGCTAACCTCAATTAAAAAACCTCAAACCCAAGGCAGTTTTTTTCTTAATATTATTTTTTATACACATACGTGTGTGTGTTAGTTTGGTCATTGTATTCAGGGACTGAACACCCATCAGTCCTGCAATAGTAAACTGATACGTGTGAGTGATTCCAGACAAAGACTAGCTTTAGTTTAGATTTTCAGACATCTCATCTAAACACAAACTGAGACAAAAGTCTTGCATAATTCATTTGCCTAAAATCGGTGCTGGTGGACACTGGAGCAGAAAACCAGGATCAGGAGGCTTGTTGGCTATCGATGTTTAGCAGTCTACTGTAAGCCAATAGAATTTTAGTGCGTGAGAGAGAGGTGGTGTGGATAGAGTCCGATAAGTTGATTGTGCTAGATGTGCTAGATCTTTGCTCAGCTAGCACAATCACGCTGCTTTTGAATAGCTATGTAAAAATTACCGGTTGTCAAGGATGTGTCGCTTCGATTTACTAAAAAATCTATTTAAGATGAAAAGGATAAAATGCACTTTGTCGGACTTTTTCCAGACACACTCCAGAAACCAGACAAAAACAACTCAAGACAATCTTGATAGGAGAACGTGATCTGAGTTGTCATATAATATTTCGCTATTTGCTCTTTTCGAGAGTACCAAGCAGAATTCAAGTGGCAATCGAAGCAGCGCATGGCAGAGGGAATTTGTATTCATAGGTTACATATAAAGAAAATTGCAAATGGCATTATTGTGTTCCACGGCATACGATCCACTCCTGTATTCAAACAACCGCTTTCTTGGTATTTACATTTCGGACTAATATCTTTCCAGTTAAAAGAAAAGTGAGTTGACATTGATTATGTGCACATACAACGGCTTGTTCTGTGCCACATGTCCCCTCCTTGTTATTTCACCGAGAGTTGACACATTATTACAATTAAATATTTATGGATTCTTGTTGTCAACAGTCACATTGTTCCGGTGTATTGATTGGCTAGTTACTTTTCTTACGTTAAAGCCGGTGATTGAATATATAGACTGTTGTAAAGTTTATCAAAAAGGAACATTTCTTACAAAGCAGTAAATCAGGAGATATGCCTGTGCATTTTCATGTCGCCGTGTAAGAATTGCATTTCCACCTGGGACCATTACAAAAAGGGCGTTCAAAGACAAGGCGGGCCAAATGAAGTTGCGCTGACAATTACTGTTAGGCACTATGATAACAAATGGTTTCTATTCACTAAGAAGGATTATTGCGAAGGATCATAGAATCTACCATGTTATTAAGAAGCTGTCCTGATAAGAAGATCTAGACGAAAAAAATGTCGGCAAAATGCTGATAACGTCCAATCATCACACATGATTTATTCCATATTTACCAGAAAAGATTATGGAAAGGTTATATAAAATTAACGTGAAGGAAAAACTTCTGTCCTGAAAACGAGAACCATAAAAGACATCAACATTATAAGGAGGTGGAAAATGGACAACACGGCGTCTGTCACACCCAGTCTCCCTGTCATTGACATCAGAAATAAAATTACCTGCGAGGCGATAAACACGCGTACGGCAGCACCGCGACCTCTCACACGCTCAAATTTTGCTCAAGGTACGAGGTTGTACCCCACAAAAGTCTTGCCGAATTTTACATTGTCAGATTTACAAAGAACAAGGCCTGACTCGGATTTAACTAAATCTAAGGGGTCGGGGACGTCGATAGATTTGAAACGCCCTAGCTCTCTGGACAGTGCCTTACCGACGATGCTTCTCCCGAAAGCTGAAACACGATATCCGAAGGACCTCTACTCTTTTCTTGAACGCGTTCGCGCACCGTCAGTTATACCCGCTGAAGATACGGTCTCCCTTTCACTGTCAGTGGTACCGAATCGAAAGCAACCAATGAGACTGCTGTCGAAAAAACAACTCGAAATTCCAATTCAAAACTCCGTCGAAGAACAATTATTGGATAATGTAGACATACTACCAAAGTTTTTGAGGCCCTTGGTCAAATTCATGGGTAGATTAAAAAGGAAAGGAACTTTGTCCAACAGATCGTCTCACAAGCGGAAAGCAGTCAGTAGAACTAATAGCTCAGTGGGCACTCGATCACTGAAAGGTTTACGACAATTTGGATCGAATTCTTCGCTGCCAGATCGTCTTAGAGAAGACGAGGTACGAAATAACGCTGACTTGTCATCATCCAAAAGACCTGCGGCATCACAGAAACTATTCAACAGCCAGGAATCATTTGCATCATTCTTTAAGCACGGTTGCACAAATACACCTATTAATCCCGATAAAGAAAATTTGGATTCTGCAGAAAATGAAAATCAAAGATCTGGCATCAATAACGGTGTAGAAGATATTGATGATATTCCGGAATACATCGACTCGTTTGCAGACCCTACTCTCCTTCAGATAGACCCATTTGACCAAATATCAGGGGAAGACAGTGACGGTGATGAGGAAGATAAGTTATTGGCCATTTTAGCAGCGTCATCAAACTCTGATGCAGGACCGTGTCCGCAGTGTATTAAAATGCTAGGGGGAATCAAGAACTACCTGGCAATGATTGCCAAAAACTTAGGAGCAGTGAGTTTCTTAAACTTCTTATTTAAATTGACAGAAATTCAGTATGGATATTTATTTATCCACCCCCTTGAATAGGACGATTTTGAACTTTTAACAATTTCAGGTTTAGTTGCAAGGTGTTTAAGAAACGAATCATAATTAGCTTTTGAAACTGATTTTTTTCATAAAATACCCAAGCCCGATAATAATGAATCTCAGAAAAAATTATTGTCTTTCTTCGAATCAATAGAAAATGCACCCCATCCCCTTTAAATATTGATCTGCAATCGTAACTTAATAAACCGCAGGAAGAAACATAAAAGATTACGTATTTCTTTATAATACCGCCTCATTGCTCAATCGTGGGCGCACCTGTCGCAATAACATAGTGGCTGCGCAATGATTCAAAAGAATTGATTTTATTGACCGTCAGTGTTATTTAAATCTAGGAATTTGGTCTGAAGGATCGGGTACGGTATGAAATAGAAAAGACTTTTCTTTTATTCACTCGTGGGACATCTATTTTCCTAGAATGGAGTGAGGCTTAAGGAAGTCTACTATGAACGTTTCTGTTTACTCTGCCTCGCAACAGTGACACAATTAGGTCACGTGATAACAGCACAGCGTGAGAGTCAAAAACTTCACAGAAGTTTGTCGAAAATGATTACACAGCTTATTGGTAAGTCATAATTAATTATTTACTCTATTGGTGTTACTTACATTAAGATATTTCGTGAAAATGGGCTTGAAAAAATGACTTGAGATGTACAAAACAGCTTACTAGATTTGATCTTTTAATTAATTATATAGTATATACCGCTTCCGGCGGTCCTTTAAAACATAGAAATGGACCGAAATGGATAGAAATGGACCGAAATGGACCGAAATGGGCAGAAATGGACCGAAATGGACGCATGGCAAACCTCTATGAGATCGCACTTGGGTTTTGCATAGTAAAAATAAACTTACTTTTATACCAGAAAGAAGTTTTATTGAATTTTCTGGTGATACACCCTTCGAGGTAGTAATCGGGTCAAGGTCGCCATTTTCAAGGTGGATTCCACAACGAGGCTGTGGCGGTGATTCCACAACGAGGCTGTGGCAGTGTACCTAAACATCGTCCTCAACCTAGCACAACCGACCACAAGCGTCCTCCCATATAAAATAGTAAAATACGGTAATAGTTGGAAATTCCACATAAGATGGTGCTTTACTGATATAGAATATAGGGGAGACCTGAGCTAGTCAATTTATGAAAAAGTAACTAAAACAATTTAAAAAAATTGATCTCATCATTTTGTAAAAGGACAACATCTCCAATAATACCAAGAAAACACTGGTGTAAAATGAAAACCCGACTCCCGTGGATATCTGACTCCCCTAGTCAAATTACCATAATGAAAATCTGACTCCCCCATGAAATTTTGACTCCTCTCCAAAAGACTTCATGAATCTTAATTTATTTGAGTATATGACTACGATCTTGTAGTATGTAAAATGGGGGATACATTGGCACTATTT